TCAATTTTATCAACAATAAAAACAAATAAAATATAATTTTCATGACAAATATGTGAATATTTTTATCCAATGTATAAATTTTATTAATAAAAAAAATTCAAAAATACTAAAATACTAAAAAATACTTTAAAAATCTAATTTATTAAATATAATTATAAACATCACTTGATTTTCAATAAAATAATTTCAAAATTTGTTTATCAATTTTTTACATTGATTATAATTTTTGTTTTAAAAAATAAGTTTCAAAAATCTAAAAAAATATGAGTAAAACCCAATAGATTTGCCATTAGTTGAAGAGGCGGACAGATATTATTGATTCATCACTTGTAAAGAAAAAAGAGCATATATTTCATAGAAAAATGTTATCTGAATTTTTTTATATATAAATTACTGTTGAAATCATTATAAATTGAGCTAAAACGCCAAATCATTATACTATATACAGTACAGTGTATTATACACTTTGTATATGATATAGTCTAGAAAAAAGTTATTTTTCATAACATAATAATGTTTTATTAAGAAAAAAAGGTTATAAAGAATTTTGAATTTGATTTATAACAAGAAATTAACTATTTAATAGAGAGAGAGAGAGAGAGAGAGAGAAAATTGTATACTAAAGTAATCTATTTAATACATTGTTAAAAATTAATTTTTAAAAAATTTTCAGTACATTTTCTTTTGTAAAAAATTATTTTCCAAATAATTAACTGTAAAATTTTTAGAAATTACATACAATATTAAATGTATTATACATATAGAGTATTAATTTACTATTAAATATAAAATATATTTTGGTAAATTGCATATTAATACGGTTGTTTATGTATATATATATATTACAGTAAGTATACCAACGATATATTATAACACACACACACACACACACACACACACACACACACACACACACACACACACACACACACACCACACAATATATTTATATATATATATTGTCAACCATTAACTATAGTCATATTGAATGACTGAAAACCATTAAACCATTATTCAAAAGCTAATTACTTACACAATATTTTTGTTTCTTATCTATTGAATTAATTTCAATTTGATTAGCAAAAACACTAGTGTTTTTGCAATACTTTTTTCAGAATCGACAGAATTAACTATAATCTTACCAAAAAAAAAACATAACATTATATACAGAATATTTTACAACAACAACAAAATACTAATACATTACATGTAACCATCAAAAAAGTGTTTATAATATATTATATAATATGATTATCAAAGCAAAATAAAGATAATATTAAGCAACAAATCTATAGAAAAAAGAGTCTAAATGTTTGTTAGTTTGTTATCAAGATTTGCAAACTATTTTATTGTTGTTGTTGTTGTTGTTGTTGTTGTTAAGTTAGTCCTTAAACACAACATAACTCTTATACTAATATATCTTAAATATTTTTATTTCTCGCACTTAACTATTTTTTTTGTAGATACAGTCGACTATCGTTATCTAAATAAAAAAAACTTTCTATTTAATGACTTTTAAATCATTAACATAAAGATTGTATCAGTTAAATTAAATTTTTTACAGAAAATTAACATTTATTGATTAAATTAGGTTTTTACTGTCTTTTTCGTGTATGTGATAATTAAATGATGTAAAATTACAATTAACTACCCAGGCAATTTTATCCCGAGTAGTTTTCAACAATAGCGATAGTTATTAGTAAATAATATCAAGTAATATAATGTTTTTACTAATATATCTTATGTTATCTCATGTTTTGTGTTTTGTTTGTAAATCTTGTTTCGGAACCCAAGAAAATAAAACTAATTTCTCAACAATTTTGTTGTTTGTTTTGTAATACAAGTAAAAAAAGGTAACTTCAGTTTGTTTCGTTGTCTTAGTTTTTTCTGTAATAATAATAATAATAATAACATTATATAATAAATGTTATAAAAGCTGCAATTATTATTGTATCTAAAAATTTTGCTTAATTATTTTTTTTAGTATTTATGCAATTTATTTTATTTAGTAAATTTATTTTATCTAAATTACTTACTTACTTAATTTAGTTTACTGTAAATTGCAATTAATATAATTTTATTTCATTTATAGACAACTAATGGATAAGTTTTTGGAAATTATATAATATTTTTTTATTCTTTTTTGTTGCAATTTTATTTTATTTTTATTTTTTTTTATTAGTAGCCAATAATAAGTCAACAAATTATCATCAAAATTTGATTACACACTGTATTTTTGTTCAATGATCGACTAAATGAACCATCACATCACAAATATATATATATATATCTTCAATTTATTTATTATAGTTAATATAACTTTTATAGATAAATACAATATATATATATAATATTAATTCAATTTAAAAGCACTACATCTGAAAACAACAAAAATGCTTTCAATGTTTTTTTTATTGAGCTTTTTAATAATTTATAGCCAATAACACCAATTATTAGATAATATTTGGCAATCAATTTAATAAATTTGTTGCTTTATTTTACTGTAGTTATTGTAACAAACAAATAAATATAATTTCAAAAATAATGATGAAATTGTCAAAAATTGTTTACAACCCCGCCCCCCAATTAATTTAATTATATATTTAGTAATTTTTTTTAATATAAACTGACTTTAATTAAGATTTTTAATTTAATTTTTAATTATTATGTTTAGTCTTTGAGATATTAAAAGAAAAACATGTTTACTATTATATTATTTTGTCTTTTATAAAAATTTTATTAATGATATTTGTTATAATGAGAAAAATTTTATGTTTTTCTTTAATATCTCAAAAAACTAAACATAATAATTAAAAATAGCAAATATTAATAGAATAATTATTCTTTACAAAAATAACAAATTAATAATCTACTAAATATCATAACAAAATATACCTTGGCAGTTTTATTTTAAACAATATCAAAATATAGCAATTTTCATATTTATGTATTGTTTTTATTCGATTACATTATAATTTTTTGATATGATATTGTATCTAGTATACTAATATATATATATTATAAATTCACATTTTACAGAATCTTAAATATCTCGTATATATTTTGAAATATCAACATCCCTGACCCGACATCCCGGAGCCGTAATATACATAATGTGCTAATGCTATAATATCAATGATTGCATAATACCAAAAAATTGTGTATTATTTTAATTTTATTAATTTTAAAGTAATAGTTTAATCTTTATAAACAATTATTAATGAATTTTATTAAGAAATTAATTTAATAAATTTCTAAAACTAATTTTCAATAACTAATTTATATTAATTTATAAAAAAAATTAATATATGTATTTCATTTAATTATTTTGTTGTTGTAAATGTTTGAATAATAAATTATTTATAACAAAATAAATAATTGTCAAAAAAATTTTGTTTTATGTTTAGTGCATTTTAGAAAATTACATAAAAATGTTTTTCAAAGTGGAATCTTTTGACATATATTTTTAAAATTTAATCAAAATTTCAATTATATATACTTTTAAAAATTTTTATATTATATAATTCATATAAAACATTAATCATTTTGATAACTTAAAAACATGTTTACAGTACTATTATGTTTACATTAAAAATTGCTAAATATTTTAGTAGTTTTATTTAATATAAATCATAAGTGTTAATATAAAATTGAGCAAGTTCCCTCCAACCATTTATTTTCCAAAAGTTCCCAAAAATTTTGTCTGTTCACTGGGAATTCATAGGGAATCTATTTCCTTGTATTAGCAAAAATATTGAAATCTAAACAACAAATTTTATTATTAAGATTTGAATAACAAATGTTGTATTAAACTGTATTTTGAATGCTATTATTAAATAGTATTTACTGAATTTATTGTGATTTCAAATTGATTTTTTTAATATTTGTGACAATAAAATTTAATTTAATAATTTAATATTTATTATAAAAAAATACATTTTCCTTTCTAACAATAAAGGGAGGGAATATAAAATATTTCCTTATTTTCCGTGAAACTTCTCTCCCTTGAAAAGTTGCCCGAAGCCTAAGTATAAGACGGGTCCTTTAATATTTTTAATGAAATTACCGGTAATTTTTCGTTTAAATTGAACGAAATTATATATTATTTTTAAATTTTATACAAATTTTAATAGTATTAGTACAGTATAGTAAAAAGATATATAGATATCTTATTATTAATAAGTTAATACTATAAATTAAATTATCGACAATTGCAATACAATATATTTATTAAATGAAAAATATAGTAGTTAGAAATTTTAATTTTATTAAAATGTAAATTAAAATTTACAAATTAGTTTTCTGTAATATCTTTAGACAATAAAAATACAAAATATTTCATAATAATTCAATTTTAATGAATTAATAATTGAATACATTATTGATTTGATAAATATTTTATTTTTCAAAATTTTTTTTTTTTAAATTATAAAAATATTTTAAGTTTATTAGAGTTGAAAAATATTATAAAATAGTTAAACAAATTAGATTACGGTAAACCATAAAACCGGAACCGACAACACAAAATCGGTTAGGATTTTTAGATATTAAATACGATTTAAATTTGGGATTTATTTTTTTTGACAATAAGATTACCGGTCAGGTTTCGGTTCGTTAGGTTTCTGAACTCTATTTATAAATTGAATATACAGTAGAAAACAAAAAAACAAAGAGATATTGTCTATAAATAGATAAAACAAAAAATTTATAGACAAATCTCATGACACCATCACTATTAATACCAAACAGTACTTCAATTTATTTTTATTTATAAACATTATAAACAAATATCTAAGAGCTAATCGAGATTATCAATTACGGGGTAAATGTGTATAATTTTATATCGAAATAATAAAGTGTAAAATAAATAGTGTATACAAATTGAAATTAATTATCACATACGCTAACAAATAATTAGCGTAATTTTTACAATATATGAAAATAGTATAAATGAAATTAAAATATTTAGTTTAAACAAATTAAAAAATGAATTATCAATATATATATATATATAAATATTGTTTTTAAACAGACATATCCATCGCAATCTTAGCGTACGGATTGTAACCGATTAGTTCAAAATCATCACTTTTGAAGTCATCGATCTCATGGACAGTACGTTTGATATGTAGTTTTGGAAATGGACGGGGAGTTCGAGTTAACTATTGGTATAAAATAAAAACAATTGATTGTCAATCATAATCAACTAATATGTTTGGTTTAAATTACTTGTTCTTTGAGTGGATCCAAATGGTTCAGATAGATATGCGCGTCGCCTATCGTATGGATAAAATCGCCGCACTTTAGACCAGTTATGTGGGCCATCATATGTGTCAATAAGGAATAGCTGGCAATATTGAATGGCACTCCCAGTCCCTAAAGTGACCACAAAATAAATGTCATTTAAATACAGTATATTTGTCTGTCTATATGTTTATCGATATATATATATATATATATATACTTAAAGAGATATAAATATAAATTTATATCAAATAACTATAAATAATATGTCAAATACTATAACAAATGTCACAAAAAAAGAAGAAAAGATATCTTCGTGTTTAAACACAAAAAGATCCGTTAAATTTGGGTGATATTTAAGATAATAAATACAACCATTACTTACCACATCACCAGATCTCTGGTAGAGTTGACACGAAAGTTCACCATTTGATACGTAAAACTGGACCAAACAATGACACGGAGGTAAAGCCATTGATGGGATATCTGTTTTCAATATTAGTTCCGACAAAAAAAAAACAAAACTATGTGTCAATAACTACGGTAATCACTGAACATTTTTGGTCAAAAAATAATTATTACCGATCGGATTCCACGAACAGATAATCATTCGTCGGTCGTCGGGATTTGTTTTAATCGTTTCGATGACACTCTTCAGCTGATCGATACCTTGGTTGCCGTAATCGCTGTCTTTGTTGACATAGTTTGCACCGAAATGTCTCCATTGAAAACCATAAACGGGTCCCAAATCGCCTTCTTGTCGATCATTAAAACCAAGAGAGTCGAGAAAACTTCGGCTGCCATTAGCGTCCCATATCTTAACGCCAACTTTGGACAACTCTGTACTATCGGTACTGCCTCTGATAAACCAAAGAAGTTCTTCGACAACACCTCTCCAGAAGACTCTTTTGGTGGTCAATAGTGGTATAACACCTAAAAACAAAAATTATCAATTAATTAATATAAAAAATAAGTAATTTGATGGATCAACTTCAGTATACAAACCATCTCTTAGCGAATATCGGCATTGACTGCCAAACACCGAAACAGTTCCCGTCTTTGTTCGGTCATTCTTGCGGTGTCCGCGATCTATGATATGTCTGATGAGATTCAAGTATTCATATTCATCGTGTTGTTGTTGTTGTCTTTCATCATTATAATCATCGGTCACTTTATCATCGGTGGTCAATTGGTGACCATTTTCGATAGTATTCATGATAGTGTCACTGCCGCTTATATAGTTTGACCAACTTAATTATTATGGGAACCGATCAGCGATTATATATGAGTGTCAACTGAACGACACAATTATGGACAACTATCACATCAGGTCAATGGCCAGTCGGTATGTCAAATGGTTTGCACGTCCGACCACTACCAACACGTGTGGACTAAAAAGTAAAATAGCGCTAAAAGTTATTACAGTATTATTGTTTGGAAAATGTGTTTTTGAAATGTTTTTGGGATAACTTGTAATAGGATTAGCAATACATTAGTATTAGTATAATATTACAGTATTTATATAAACTTTTTTTCAATATATCAAAGTTCAATATAATATTAATAGTTAGCAATAGTTATCTAAATTTGTAATCAATTATTTTGACAAAACAACAAAAATTGTTTAATAAATTTATATCTATAGTATATAAAGTTTTTTTTGGCAAATAAATTAATTAGTATATATATATTTCCTATTCAATTATTGTTATTTCTATTCAATAACTCTTTTATCAATAATACAACAATTATTATCAAATATTTCATGACTGATATGAAATTACAATTTAATATTAAATATTTTATTTGTAATACAATAGTAATCAAGTTGAGAATGCTAGAAAGCATTTCCATACGAACTCCTTATCCAAAAGTAATTTTTAATTAAAATCAAATAACAGTATATATAACAAAATAAACACAGCTTTTGTCATATGGTATAAAATAACTCAAAGAAATTATTATATTTATTCTAATTTTTCTAATTTTAGTATAATTTTACTAATTTTAGTATAATTTTACTAATTTTACTAATTTTTTGTTCACTTTTTTGTATTTCTAAATTTTGTATCAAAATGATAATTACTTATAACATATTTTTGATGCTTTATTCAAATTTATACTTTTAAATTTAATTTCAAATTTTTTTGTACTTTGACCGCCATTTTCTCTATGTTCCCGAAGAGATATGAAAATTTTTATGCTAATCACTTATAAATTATTTTTGATGTTTAATCCAAATCTGAAGTAAAAATTGCAAAATTCAATAAAATACAGACAGAAAGACATATAGAATTCAGATACGCACTCCTTTCAGGAGTTTGTGAACAATATGGGTTTAGCCAATCACCCACTGATTAGTTGTATTACAATATTTTTTAGTATCAAATATAATGTATGTTTAATATTTTATTTAATATACTACAGTAATGTAGTGTTTAATGTTACCGGAATAGGACTATATATATATATATATATTTAAATTAAAGCAAATTAAATTTGTTATCCATATGTTGTAATAATACTAAACTAAACATATCTTTGTAATACAAACCGTGGATTAGATTTGAATTTTGATGAATAGATAGTGAATAGCATATAAAGTGAATACATTTAAACAATAATAATTGCTATAAAATAGACTCTAAAAAATGACCCTGGATATATTCATATTATATTAAAGCAATTGAATCAACCCGAGGGGGTAAAAGGTAGAAAATGTAAAAGATTTCAAAGTTTTTATCTTCAATAGTCATATATTTGATATTTATGTTAATTTATTATAATTTTATACAATAAAATTATAATAAAAAAATTATATATTTGAAATTCAATATATAATATATACTGTATACCGGTAAATGAAATAAAAAATAATAGTATTTGATAAAACTATATAACAAATTAATCATTGAAAACACACACACAATAATGTTAAATTAAAATATATAGGAAACATAATATTTATGGTACTATAGGTACTATATAATAAAAATAATAATCAATTGGTTTAATTTATTAATTAAAATCTATAATTTATTTATAAATTTCTAATATATAATAATAATAATATTAATAAATATTTATGAATTAAAACAAAAATTAATAAATATTCGCTAAAATAATAATAGATTAAATTATTACATTTCGATGTTCCAAATAAATATACAATAATTACATAATCATTATGTATATATAATTATTAACAGAAAAATATTTAATCATCTTTTTATATATATATATAATTATAAAAATAACACAATGAGTTAAAAACAATAAAATTCAATATCAATTATTTAAATAAATAAGAGTTTCTGCTTTTGATGCTAATTATAATCACTTCATTATTATTATTATTATTCAATACTAATCACTAAAGAAGGCGAACACTTCCACAAAGTTGTTGATTTTTGATGACTTTTGTTGCTTTTATTATGTTTGCCATCACTATTGGCCATAGGTTTAAGTCTGATGGTGTCATCGCTTATGGTATTAGTGTTGCATTCAATGCCTAACTTATAGATTCCTCTGTAGAAGAATGTTAGACCACATTCGTGACAATAGTTCTTCATTGATTCAATCTATGGTTTTTTGTTTAATTAAAAAACAAATTATAAGATATTTTTAAACAGATTATTCTTCTGGTATGTTATGGTTAACTTACTTCTGGTATAACAACTCTATCAAAACCGGTCAACGCTTTCTTCATTTCTAACCTATAGTTTCGCTCTTTACCGATTCGGTGACTGTTTTGGTAGTCCTGATAGTAATTGATTGAGAGATTCAATGATTTCAATGAAACGGCCGAACAATTATACAACGATATGGCGACTGATATGTATTGACCGGCTTTAAAGCTAAACTCATTACCATTACGCAAGTTTTGGTCGTTTAAAGTAACTTCTACTCAACAAAAACATAAAAAAAATAAATATTAGATTTTAAATTATAAGATAATTTATTTTTTGTTGTTGTGTAATAACAAACCCCATTGGATGGGCGATAAAAGTATTGAGTTAAGCATTTGGTCGGAATAGGGAACGTTGGCCACCGATGCCGTTCCTCTAATACCAGATGATGGGAGTTTCCAATTTAAGTTTAATTGATTGATGAGATGTTGTCGACATCGAGCTAATAATGTTTGAGATGAATCCTCCCGTTTGTCATCACTATCGGTTTCATCATCAACTAGAGGACATCGTTCAATGGGCACCGGTATACGACAGGTTTCATTGGCTTCTATTAGTATTTCTTTAGTGGCCGTATAATGTAGTTCCATCTCTTGAGTTGTGACGTTCAGAGCATCCAATACTAAAAAACAATTGGTTGGCCTAACAGTTTGACAATTATATAATTAATAGTAATAACAATAATATGCTTTCAGTAGTTAGTCATCTTACAAATCGGCGGGTAATACATCCCAATGAGTAATTAAAAGTGACGGTTGAATCTCTATAATAATGGCTAAACAACTTTGCCGACAATAGCCGGAAGCGAGTCCCGGTCCTCCACTATACTCAAACATTAGAAGAACTTCTACTATCTATTAATAGAAAAAATAATTAAATATTATGTCAGAAATTTAATTTCAATAACAAAAAAATAATAGACAAACCTTTGAGGGAAATGGATCAAAGGTATCGTTAATTCTTTTATCAATTTGTTTCGGTTTACTATTCGTTTGTAATTCAGATATAAAATTCGCTAAAGTGGTTGAACCTAACAGTTGAGTCTTTTTGGTGGTGGCGGTGACACCGGTATGTGCGGGAGAATTCTGGTGGGAGCCAATCGTTGCCGACCTATTGGTCGTAGCTTTTGTATTATTTCTATTATTATTATGGCTGGACTCGACTACAAAGCCGCCGATGGCGTTCAAATTGAGATCGAAAGTGATGGACGCGCCACAGGCCAGTGGTAAGTCTTTTATTATTTCGTTGTCATCCCATTCAAGTAGTGATCGTTCAGTTTCTTTCGGCAATTTTGTTATTATACTGACATTAATTAGTTCAATGAGTTCACTATTGGGACTGTTATTTGATAGTGTGATCTGAAAGGTGCGCTTTTCGCCGGCAAACATCGTTACCATAGCATTGTAAGCGATATGAGTCTTATCGGTGGCCAATGAGTTGGTGGGTAATGTTTGAGTGGTCTTCGGCAACGAACATGAAATGCCAATCAATGGAAGAAATGGAATGACTTCTACTGAGTAATTCTTAGGAAGTTTCAACTTCTTGGCCTTCGGTAGCTCACGAAGTCGACACTCGCTGTTGACGCCCAACGTTTGCATACTGTAGCCCAAGATATCAAGTTTGCCACTCGATCGGGGAATTCCTGTCAGTTTTATTGTTACATTTTGTGAATCGGGTGCCATCGTCAGCGATACAGCATGTGTTTCAAAAGTCAGACCATTAGTCATGAGTACCATTTGAGATATATTCAGTTCAATCGGCAAATAATTATTGACTACCAGTATTACTGTCGCTATCTCGCCTTCTGTCCACTTATAGTCCAATAGTGTACTAACTGTGGACAGTCTTCGCGGTGTATTCACAGTACTTCGGTTGAGTTGAAGCGGTGTAAATATGAAAGGACTGGATGGTGTCGATGATGGTAACGGTTTGATTTTGGATTTCAGTTTAACAGGTCTCAGATGTGGCGACAGATTTTGCACTTTGAATGAGACTACTGTTGGAAATTTAGTTAAATTAACTGATGGTATGACAAATCCGTTCTGCAGTTTCATCGCCGACGACTCGACAGTCGGCGACGATGATGATGACTCTTCTTCAGCTAAGCGGGCGGACAGCGATATAAGTTTATTTGCAAACTCTTGCCGTTGATTGACAGTCAAGTGTTGAAACAGAGATTGTAACAGAAAGCTCATGTGTCTTACGGCCAGCGAATGACAATCCATTTTGGCGGCAGTGGTCACCAATTCTTGCAATAATTGCAAATGAATGCCCGGCCAGCCGACAGTATTGGTATCGATTCGGCGCTGATATTCAATGGGATCCAATGTCAGACCGTAGCCGTCGAGCGATGGCAACAACAGCTGATAGCATTTAATCCAATCGGGATCTTCGAGATGCAACGATACGGCTTTCAATGCGGCCAATCGGCGATAGAAGGCGGCCTTTCGGTTCTGGCCAGTGTTGGCGTACACCTCGGCTATCATTGTCAGATTGTCTACATTGCTCATCGCTATTCACCGCCTCTGTCTCTGTCACCGCAAATCAATTGACAACTAATCAACCGATAATCGGTTGTACTGTCGATAATACTGTCATTGACCTGAATATGCAATAGATATATAAAGAAAATAATCGGTTAATTGTTTTGTCCACAAAAAAAAACAATAATAATAATAATAATAATAAAATACTTGCAATGATATTGTTTTATCAATTAACGTATAATTAATTAATTGGTACTAAATTTTTTTGTGATGATATTATCACGACATCAGTGGTAAACATAATTTTAAAAATTTGTTAAAATGTTTTTATGAGACAATTATTTAGTTAATGATATTTTATTATTAATATTTGTGTCAATAATACTGTAATAATAATAATAATAATAATAATAATAATAATAATAACTCTCTAAACACTGAAAACTGCGGTCAAAACACTTTATTATTACAGGTATTACTGTATAAATAATATATACACCACTAATGGCGGGTTACATGCAATCACTGTTGTCAATGGCAACCGTCAACATTATATTATTAACATTTTGACAACTATTTATTTATTTGCTGGATATTTAATATAAATGTACTTGCGCATTTTTGTTGTGTATTCAAATTTATTTATAATATTGTATCCAGGAACAATTTTTGTATTATCAATAAAAATACCAAATATGTGACCAAAAAAAAAATAGTTACGATAATAGTAATGAAGTTTATTTTAGTTATAAATGAATAACATACTGTAGTACTGTACTGTTATAACTAGTATTATTATTTAACTTAATTATATAACTATTTTATATATTTTAGTTTAGACATTTACAATATAATAAATCAAAACTTTTATATAATATAAGTTTTGATTTATTATCATTGTCATCATTGAATCAGTATAAATTATTTAAATGCATGATAAAACAAAATATTTAAATAAATTGCATTGAATTTTAATTAACAGTAATGATTTATAATTAATATTTTACAGTTTTTTGTTTTTAAATTAAAAATTTAGTATTTATATTATCAGATAATTAAATAGAATTGAATTCAATTTACAATCAATTAATGTAATCTAATTACTAATTACTTTAATTTATTAAAAATAATAGCAATTTTTATTTATTAAAAAAATTATGCTATCATAACTAAATAATAAAATAATATTTTTAAAAAAAAATATATATATATTTATTGAATACAAACTTGAATTAAATATAAACTCTTGTAAATTATACAATATTAAAACAATAGAATTTAGTAAACTTTTCAAAACAGCTAATAATATAATAATAATAAACAAAGAAACAAAAATTATGAAAAAATTGAGAAAACTATAAGAAATAAAGACAACACAATATAAGTGGATTGACCGGCAAATGAATGGCCTCTTCGACCTCCTCCAGAGCTTCCACCAGAGTCTCCACCAGTTCCGCCTCCAGTACTGTCGTCGCCTGAGTTTTCACCACTTCTCGACTGTATTTTAGTATCAGTCAGTTTAGTACAGGGTATGTACTGTTTGCACCCATTGTCGCCAACATCTTTGGGTTTCAATGATTTGCACTTAACATCACTAATTGAAATACCTTTCTTCGAGCAAATCTCTTCATTGGTTTTTTGCGACCAAAACTTATTTTCTGCGGCAAAATCGTTGTTATCCTCTTTACTACACTCCTTCTGAATCTATTGATATAATATATCAATTGAAAATTATATATAAATAAAAATTATAAGTTTAATAACTATCAGTTTTTTTTTGGTCAGCAATTAGTTACCACTTTATCAACAATACAATTGAATTCATGTCTAAGACAACAGTACTCTTTGTTGATATCTTTCGGTATAACCCCTTTGACATCCCAATCAATTGATCCCCATCTCTGTTGCAAACAAACGTCTGCCTTATGAACCAACGGTTGTATCTTTTCAGTGCATTTGTCGCTGACATCGAAAATAAGACTCAAAAAGGAAACCGAATCGTCTTTGAAATTGAAGTTTCCTTCGCCGGACACCACTGTCAACAGTACTCCAGAAGTAATCAAAATAATTGATGTAATAATCAACAAAATATTCATTTTATTAAACAACATATCAATTAATTATTTAAATTAAATAATCAATAATTTCTAATTATTTGTAGAGCACTGTATACAGTATACTAAGTAAATATTAAAGAATAATAAATTAATTGTATTTTTAAAATTATGTTAACAATCATTGAAAATCTCGTGATAATAATTAATTAATTAATTTTATTTAAAATTATTGTAGCCTTTGATTATTTTTCTGCTATAGTTTTAGATAATAAATTTTGTAGTCAAAACAATTATTGCTATCAATTAAATGATAACACCATTAAACATATTCATTACTGTTTTGTTACAATTACTCGTTTTGCATATTATATGATATATTAACTGAAAATATATTACAGATAATTGAATAGAATTGATACTCAATCAATCAATATAATCTAATTATGGCTAATTTAATTTATAAAATAATTTCAATTTTTAATTATTAAAATAAAATATGCTATTATATTCTAAATAATTATGCAATAATGCAAGGTTATATAAATAAAAATTAAATTGGAATTAATTAATAAAATTATAATTTGAAAACAAAATATTTATTGAATAAAAACTTGAATTATAAACTCTTGAATAAAATATTAATATAATAAAATTTAGAAAACTAATTTAGTAAACAGCAAAAAATTAAGATAAATAAATAATATTAATAATTATCTATTTAACAAAAATCATAGAAAAATTGAGAAAACTATAAGAAATAAAGTGAACACAATATAATTGGTCTTTTGAGTACCGGTGCCGTCACCAGTAACTCCATCAGTGTTTCCAACAGTGCTGTTACCTGTGCTGTCACCGGCAGTCTCACCACTTCTCGACTGTATTTTAGTATCAGTCAGTTTAGTACAGGGTATGTACTGTTTGCACCAATTGTCGCCAATATCTTTGGGTTTCAATGATTTGCACTGAACATCGCTGATGGAAATGCCATTCTTCGAGCAAATCTCGTCAATGGTTTTATGCGACCAAAGCTTGTTTTCTGCGGCAAAATCATTGTTCTCATCTTTGTTACACTCTTTCTCTATCTTTAATATATCAATTAATATTTATATACAAACAAATTATAAGTTAAATAATTATCAATTTTTTGTTTGTTTGTTAAGCAAAGAGTTACCATTTGATCCATAATACAGTTGAATTCATGTCTGAGACAACAAAATACTTTGTCGACAGTATTTGGATTGTGACCTTTGACATCCCAGTCAATTGATCCCCATCTTTGATGCAAACAAATGTCTGCCTTATGAACCAACGGTTGTATCTTTTTACTGCATTTGTCGCTGATATCGAAAATAAGACTCAAATAGGAAACCGAATCGTCTTTGAAATTGAAGTTTCCTTCGCCGGACACCACTGTCAACAGTACTCCAGAAGTAATCAAAATAATTGATGTAATAATCAATAAAATATTCATTTTATTAAACAACATATCTGTTAATTATTTAAATAAAATAATAAAATTTCTAATTTCTATTTATTCTGTATATACAGTATAATTAGAGAATTATAAATTTATTGAATTTTTAAAATTCTATTAGCAATTATTGAACAATTCTCGTAATAATAATTATATTATAATAATTGTAGTTTTGATTATTTTGCAATAATTATTATATTTTTGATATAGTTTTAGACATTGAATTTTTTACTATTATATTACATGAAATTAATACATCATTAAATTAAATACAATAAAAATAGTAAATCTTTCAATAACAGATACAAAATAAATTATACAATAAATATTTATTTTTTTAGATAAAAATCATAAAAATTGAGAAAACAATAAGAAAAAATGTGATCACAATATAAGTTGATTGACCGTCAAATGAGTAGCCATTTGATGTTTCGTGACTACCGGTTCCGTCATCACCAGTGTTGTCACGATTACGTGACAATAGATCAGTACAGGGAATGTACTTTTGGCACCATTTGTTGTCAACTTTTTTCGGTTTTAATGATTTGCACTTAACATTGCTAATGGATATACCATTCTTCGAGCAAATCTCATCAATCGCTTTATATGACCACAGCTTGTTATCGGTGGCAAAATCATTGTCATCATCTTTGTCACACTTATTAATTATCTTTAAAAGTATTGTTTTTTGTTTGTAAACAAATAAGTTATTAAAAAAGTTATTTTTTGAAAAAAATAGTAATAACTACCACTTTATTCATAATACATGTAAATTCATGTCTGAGACAACAATACTCTTTGTTGATATCTTTAGGTATAACCCCTTTGACATCCCAATCAATTGATCCCCATCTCTGTTGCAAACAAACGTCTGCCTTATGAACCAACGGTTGTATCTTTTTAGTGCATTTGTCGCTGATATCGAAAATAAGACTCAAATAGGAAACCGAATCGTCTTTGAAATTGAAGTTTCCTTCGCCGGACACCACTGTCAACAGTACTCCAGAAGTAATCAAAATAATTGATGTAATAATCAATAAAACATTCATTTTTTATTCAAAGAAAAATCAACTTATAAATGAAAATATTATAATATAAATTATATAACAACCCCCCCTTAACAAAGATCTTTGTTAGGGAGGGCTGTAGGACAGATGTTGGGTCACAAAGGACCTAACAGTCCTTTGTGTGTCCCAACACTGTCAGTATGTGTTTGGGCACTGATCGGTGTAGTTGTCTCTCGTAGAGAGACAACTAGTTTTAATATATATAGTATATATATATTTATTTTTTATATATAAATAATTATAATAATTATTATAATTATTATTAGTATTATTATCATTATTACTATTAGTGTTGTAGTTATTATTATTATTATTATTAAAATTAATAATATTGTGACGACTACTACTACTACTACTACTACTACTACTACTAAATTTAGGGTATGTCTGCTCTCTATCTCTCTCTCTTCTAATTAATTATTTTATTAATTATTATTATTTATTATTATTATTACTATTATTATTATCAAAACTAAAACTTTTTAATAAGTTATTTAAAACTTTTTAATATAATAATATATATATATATATATATATATTGCAACTGTATATATATATATATAATGTGCCGGCATCTGCGCACTTAAATTTTCTTTGTCTTCAGTATCTATCTATAATTATTGATTTTTATTTTATCCGCCATTTTAATTTCACAATACAATGATCAATAATATATTATTTAGTATGTATATATACTACAAATTTAATTTATCAATATCTCATTAATTATTAATCGTAATTAAATATAGTAAGAAGTGCCGGTATCCCCATAGATATACCTATCTAATGATACTAATTCTAATTATGTAGTAGTTGCCGTTTATAAATTTATTGATCGACTTTTAAATTTGTTTTTAATATAACTTTTTAGTTATAAATAATACACAGTTTTATTTTATATGATTGTAAACACCGGTCAAAGCCTAACACATACATCTTAACCAATTTACTGTAATTGTAACAACAATTCAGTAAATCACAATTAACTGCCATAACGTTAAACTCAATTCACCTGTCAATCATCTGAAAGTACGCTGCCTACGAATTCGTAACCATAGACAACTACCAGTGGCGGATACATATAACATCAGTAATCTAAAATCAATACTCAGCCTTCATAGTGCTTTTTATTATCGATTGATGTCTCAAAACGCGTATATAAACCCCTGATTTCAACACAAAAGTACGATTAAGTTGACTGCTAAACAAGTTCACGTCTCATTGAAGAGCTTTTGGGACTGCTAACCGCGTCCACGTCTCCTTAAAGAGTTTTGGGCCTGCTATCCGAACTCACGCCTAGCAAACCTTTATTGTGTTATCTCTATAATACTACAATACTGTATTTATGCTAAAGTGAACTCAAGACATCATCACAATTCAACTGTGGCGATTATCTCTGAACATCTCCAGAATCAGGCACTGGTGGCCATCCACGACGGCGACACCAGTCTCTTATCTTTCTCTTTCATGGTTTTGTTTGATGAGTCAATTTAAGTCAAGTAATTAAATGTTTTAATCTATTCAAATGATTTATTTAAATTATTGAGCGATTATGCGGGCGACGGCCATTCTGGCGGCGGCGCAGGCAGAGAGTAGCGTTGCAATTAAATAATATGTATTAAATGTGTCAAATTCGTTTCACCGTACCTTTCGGTCGGCCAGTAGGATTCTTGTAACCCTGCTCTACCGACTGAATCGGTACTCGAGGTTCACCGATTACACCGCATGTGAGGTGGTGGCGGTGCACCGGTAGTGCGGTTGTACCGTATTCTTTCTATTAGTTTAGTATTGAGTTACTGAGACCAGTCCTACGCATTAGTGACTGTTCAGTAGATAGATAGCAGCCAGCGGGCGCCGATTACCGACGGCAGCCGGGCAGGGGCGCAGCGTTTAATATACATGTTCAATGCAATTGAGATGATTCGATTGTATATTGGTAGACTCGGCGGTCGACGCCAGTAGAGTTCTTGTAACTCTGCTCTGCGGCGATTGGCTGGGTGGGGGATCGACAGAAACTTGGTGGCCGGGGCCAGTAGAGTTCTTGTAACTCTGCTCTGCCTTGACTAACCCGGTGGGGGATCGACAGAAACTTGGTGGTCGGGGCCAGTAGAGTTCTTGTAACTCTGCTCTGCCTTGACTAACCCGGTGGGGGGTCTTCAAAATGGCCGACGATATGGTTCGAGCCAATAGTGTAGGATGTTAGGTATACAGGTTGGGGTTTAGGTTTATGCGCATGACTATGCGTACCGTGTAAAATATGGTTATAGACGTTGTAGTCAACATAGACACGCGTCTGGGGTTAGGAAGTGCCGATCGGTACGGCATTTGCGCGTATTAACTGAGTTATATGAAACCCAATAAGTAGATAATGAGTTTTACTTATTATCATTGGTTAGCATCGGTGGCTATGACCCACGTGTATGCGCGGTGTAGGTTTTATATTGCTAGCGTGTGTACGGTTTGTATGCTGTAATATACAGTGTATAAATATATTTATAGGACAACCTATAGGTTTGTCTATTATTTCTGTAATATAGTGTATATACGTTCCTATACGTATTATTTAATATTAATTTGTATATTTGGTCGATTATTTAATATAGTAATCGATTTTATTAAATCTTAGTCATTAGTATTTGATACTTATTACAGACCAATGACTATATGACCTATGATAGTATTAATACTATTTAATTATTATAGTATTATTTATATAATGATTGAATCTTTGGTATTTTTTATTGATAACGTTAGGTAATTAAATATGAATGTATGAGATGGTATTGGTGTATATATATATGTATATATATACATRTATATATATATATATATATATAATAAGGTACGGATATAGGTATACGGGCCAGGTAGTATACGATATATATTTTATCGAAATTAGTATTGAGATAATAGTTGTAATTATTTTAAGTATAGATTTAGTTAGTATTCGAATTACATATAATGATTATTGAATATATTTATTTATAAAGTATACACATTTAAGTAATAATAGGTTAGGTTAAATTAGGTTAAGTTAGATTGGGATTAATATATAAGATTTTAGTTGTTTTACTTTTAATAACCATTATTTTAGTTCATCAGACTTAGACTACTTATTAAGTGGCACTGATAGTTATATTTCTTCTATTATTTGTTAATTCAGAATAATTAGTCARTTAGTTAATTGATTGATTAAATGATTGATTGAATAATCGGTTGTTTGGTTAGTTGATTTGTTGGTTATGTGTTTTATAGTTAGGGTTAGTTTAGGTTTTAACTATTGTTTAATTTGATAAGATTTAGGATACGAATTTGATTTATTTCAATTCAGATATTTTATTTATAATTATATAACAAATAGTTTAACTTACATTTTAGACAGTGTTTAGTTTACTTGTTATTAGTTATTTATTAAACATATATATCGCAATGATTGATTTCAATTATATGAATATATTACAGATTACTTGTTTAGTGTTACTCTCAGGGTAACCATTAGAAGTAATAGATTTATGGATGAAATAGATTTATAGATTTATACGACGATAATGATTTATATTAATAAGTTTTTTATTAACAACATAACAGTGATTGTATTTGAGTCGAGTTTAGTCATGGTTTGAGTCTAGACATTAGATTGTCGGTTGATATTGGTAATATCAGTAATTTAAACTGATTCGGTTAAATATCAGGGATAAACGCAAATCGGGTTGAGTTTTAGAAATGTAGCGGTTAAGTGGGGATTCAATAAATCTAGCTTGATTGTGACACTTGTAAGACTCAAATATATAATTTGTTTAAGTGATTTGTTGGGAATTATGATTCCCATTATATTAGAGAAATGAGTTGATTATTAGAAGATAGATTGGATTAGATTGTACCGAACATACATTGCATCATATTTATAGATATGAGGGTATGGCGGACGTGGTTATATGTATGAAAATAAATGATTGATTTGATACAGAGATTGATTCAATA